CATAGCGAGAACAATGAATTGGAAAACCTAAAACAGCAAACAATTCAAATGGTGGAACATTGTAAGAATGTAAATGGAGAGGTTATTGTGCCATTCTTTGGTTATACTGGCGTGGGAAAGTCTCTGCTCATCAATCTTCTATCCAATTGTAAACTCATAACTGTTAAGAATGAAATGGACCTTGATGTTTTGGATTTTGAAGATGCAAAGACTAAAGTTGGCCAAACTCTTGAATCAGAAACTTCTACACCAATATGTGTGAGAAATAATGATTGTGAATACATCATATTGGATTGTCCTGGATTTTTTGATAACAGAGGCGATTTGACTCGATTAATGGTAAATCTATCCATTAGGTTATCAATTCAACAAGCTCTCCAAGTGAAAGGAATTGTAATTATGATAGATATTGATGATTTAATTAACAGGAGTTCAAAATTCAATGAAACTGCCTCATTATTTGGAACCATGTTGAAGGAAGATTTTCCAGAAAAGTCTATGATTGTTGTTATCAACAATAAGAAAGGTAACAAGGTCAACAGGTACACAGTTAACAAAGCTATTGAATTACAACTACAAGGAGCGAAATCAAGATGGTTGAGATTAGCTCAACAGACTGCATCCTTTTTGAAATTTTGTTCTGATGGAGAGAAAGAATCTGCCAGCGTTAGATTTCTCAATTTACTTCATTCAAATCTTGACAGAGTATTCCTGTTAGATGTAAACAATCAAAATTCCATAGTAGAAATCAAAAAAGCAATTAATAATCTATGTCCTGTCAGTTGTGAATATTTTGAAACCAATACTTTCGATGAAACATGGAATAGATACAACAATGTTATCAGGAAGGTTATGGAAGAATCTATCAAGTTTTATGATAATTATGTAAACATCAAACGATTAATGGATCAACAAAAAACTAACATTGCTGAATTGAACACCAGAATTGAAAGTTATTCAGATAGGCTCAAAGAAATTCAAAAAACAAATATTGAGAAAGAGTCTGAGCAGGTTGATTATGGATTACAACGACTTTATTCTGAAAAGAAGGATGAAATCAAACGTCTTACTCAAGAATTGGATGCACTGAATTTATTAATCAAAAAAACTCAGTTTTCAAGAGATGAATTGTTAAAGAAACAAAAGGAGCTTGATAGTGAAGAAGAAAAACAAATTTTCAAGGAGCAAATTAGTGAAAAACGAAATTCTATTCTGGGATGGATTTCATATACTGCTAAAACCATTGAATATGATGCTCAATGTCCATTCAGGGAAGAAAAAACAATTACCACTGGAAAATTACAAGAATCAAAGAAACATTCTTCAACTTATTATCACAAGTATTATTTTACTAATTGGGGAGAAGATGCTGAAATGAGCTTAATTCTTTTTGCAAAGAAAAAAGATCTTCCTGGTAACATAATTATGTCCGCAATTAATAGAAATGATTACAAAACATTGAGGAAG